AATGATCGTAAGGCAGAGCACGTATATCATATACGTATATGATATACGTGCTCTGCGTAAAGTAATGCTGTGATGCTGGTTTTCAACGCTAGGTGTCGAGGCAAAGGGTCACACGCGCACACACACACACACACACACACACACACACACACACACACACACACACACACACACACACACACACACACACACACATACGCACGAAGACACTTTGACGCACGCGTGCAGGTACGGTCACACGCGTCTGTTTACCGCCAATATGCAGCCACGTGTTCAGATGTGCTCTGTAGAGAGTGTAGAGTGATGTAGGGTCGGCAGCACGCTCCTATATTTGTACTAAACCCCCCAAAACCGCGGGCAGTAGCTATACATGAAAAAAATTGGCCCATTATCGTAGCATCACAAATCCCGCGTACAAAAGCCACACTGATAGCAGGATTCAGGGCATTTTCGTTAGACTGATCCCACGTCGTGGTCCCAACGCGTCGGCAGTGCGCGTCGCGCGACTTTTCGTCCGTCTAACCAGCAGATTGAATCGTAGGCTGCTGCCACTATTAATGAATGCAACCCGTGATGTCTACCAACACATCCCCGATCCTTTCACAGCGTCCCAGTACGTGCATGAGCGCACTAGCTTGGACTAGTCTGTAACATTGAGTGGACGGATGCGCGCAATAGATACACGGATTAGCAGATGATGCGCTTATATCATGACATCCGTCCTTTACAGAGTAGAACGCATTGGGTATCAGACACGTGTATGTCAACCGTTCATACACTCACCTCATTCTAGATCTCATCGCTACTATACGTGTAGTCTATTGGCGTATCTGTCTGTTTACCTGCCATGCATGCATGTTTGTATGTGTGTCTACCTGTCTGTACATGTGTCTGTGCGTCTGCCCGCTCGCCTTTCTCATACCTTCTATGTCTTGAGCCACTCGCCCACGCTCTCCTTCTCTCTTGTCCACTTTTACTCTCATTGTCATCCCATTGCATTATCTCATTCTAACACACACCGTCTCTTTCTCTTCCCACAAACACACACACACAAACACACACACACACACACACACACACACACACACGCACGCACGCACGTACGCACGCACACACACATTATAATATATATATATCGCGTTCCCTGCCTCCTACCTCAACTGCATCAGAGACTGTGAGTTTAATACGCCATACGCGTAATGAAAGGCTACGCTTGTAAATCATCATAGAAGAAGCGTATCTATACGACCTACCAATAAACCAATAAAGTATATCGTCGTAAAAAAACACACCCGACGAAAAAATACTCGGCCGCAAATTAATAGCCCGCCACCGCACGGTGCGCGAGTGAGATACCAGCATGGACAGGTGCGAAGTGTCGATACTCAGCCCCGTGCTAACTGTGTCGCAAGATGAATAGGTGATTAAGCAAACATAAATCAGGAAGACGAGCCACCGCCGCGCGCATCAGACGCCGCACCGTTACCTGAGTGAGGGGGACTGCGAGGAGGAGGGGGAGGTCTATACGACCTACCAATAAACCAATAAAGTATATCGTCGTAAAAAAAGACACTCGGCGAAAAAATACTCTGACGCAAATTAATAGCCCGCCACCGCACGGTGCGCGAGTGAGATACCAGCGTGGACAGGTGCGAAGTGTCGATACTCAGCCCCGTGCTAACTGTGTCGCAAGATGAATAGGTGATTAAGCAAACATAAATCAGGAAGACGAGTCACCGCCGCGCGCACTAGACGCCGCACCGTTACCTGAGTGAGGGGGGGGGGACTGCGATGAGGAGGGGGAGGGAC